AAGTTAGATTCGATAGAAATATTGCTAAAAATATCCCCGAATATAAAATAGGTGACAAAGTATACGTGAAAGAATCACAAATAAAAAATAAACTTGAAAACAAATTCAATGGACCTTTCGAAATTGTCGAGATATTTCAGAACTCTGCTATGCTAGCTAATTGGAAAACGAAAAATAAAACAAAAGTCAATTTTGACAGACTATTGCCGTATCATGAGAATTAATTTATTTACAGGATCGCCCTGCTTCTCGCAGCCGCCAAATCGCAATACACAATCGAACCAATCCAAAGTTCAGTAGGCGTATATTTCCATGAAGAAGGCAACCTCAAAATATCAAACGACAAATGGACACTCCTGGTATACAAAGACTTGACATCAATCAAAGACGCTCTAGACAACAACGACATAATACTCGAAAATATGGTAGATCTATTTGAACAAAATAACCCTCGTATGATCTCATTCAAAGCACAAGTGAAGACACATATCAGTCTTTTGAAACAAATATCCGATTCGCTACAACTAAAATATAAAGAAATATTTGCCGATACAGAAAGCTATGATAGACGAACAAAACGCGGTTTAATTAATGGCGCAGGTACATTCTGGAAAGCAATTACAGGAAACCTTGATTCATCTGATGGTGAATATTTCACAGAATGCATCAACAAAATAACTCATGATGAACACCAAATAGAGAACCTGCTGAAGAACCAAATCTCTGTTACCACCTCAGTTATCAAAAATTTCAATTCAACCATTCAAAAATTACAAGTCGATGAACAAACGTTCAATAACGATATTAAGGAAATAGAAAAATCCATCTATAATATAGAAGATGACTTATCATTCTATCAGGCACAAGTAAAAATACTCGAAGTTTGCGAATCACTTATGGAAAGTTACTTATTTTTGGAAACTGCACTTGATGACACTATAAACTCAATCACATTCGCACGTTTGAAAATACTTCACAGTTCAATCATAACGTCAAAAGATCTTATTAGTTCATTGCAATCAATATCTCAATCTCTGAATAAAAATAATCTCCCACTACCTACCTATCTGTCTAGTGTAGCTCAATATTTAGAAATCATAGAACTACAGGCTTATCGAACCGATAATAAAATAGTATTTGTACTCAAAATCCCATTGGTAGAACCAGAAATATATACCCTTTTCCATCTTTACCCAACACCTATACTAGATAATCGAACAGGCCTCCATCATGTTCTATTGACATTCCAAAAATACATTGCGCGAGACGATGATTCAGTATTGTATATTTCTCTTCAAAATCTGAACGATTGCAAAGTGATAAAGAACTTCGCAACAATATGCTCAGACGTACTACCATACCCAATAGATAGTGATTCAATTTGTGAAGCCCAACTATTTAGACAATTAAGTGAATTGCCAAAAACTTGCCAATCATCCTTGATTTATGCCAAAGACTATAGTGTTCTCGAAATTGACACAAACCTGTGGCTCATAACAGTGTCAGACCCTCTTCCTGTTACAATCAAATGCACAAACAAAGATGCAGCAACGAAGATAATCAATAGAAATTCGCTATTGAAACTCCAACCCGAATGCAACGCCTTCGTAGGAAGTACCAGAATACATTCCAAATATCTGTTTGATGAAACTAAGAACATCACGTACAGATATCATGCCGTTCGAATCCCATTCGAATGCTGTGGCCATCTTCCAGAAAAACACAGTCTACCCGAGTTGAAACCATTAAAACTCAACAATATTAATGTGGACGATTTGAATATTGCCGAACATAAATTAAGCCAATATTCAGATCAATTAGACAAGCTGATTAACGAACCATTTGTGAACAAACACATTTCGTGGTTCACGTACCTCACAATAGCCTTGATCATTTCATTGGTCATCCTGTATATCTTTTGCAAATGCAGACGCAAAAAACCAGTTAGAATAGGTATTACCACTTCCAACGATGGACCATCACCACCACCCTCAAGAAACAGGTTCGCACCAAGAACCCTGGCAAGATTCATCTCCAGAAGAAGACCGTCCATCCACCTGCAAGAACCAGTAGAAGAAGAAGAAATCGAATTGAATCCAAATTATAGTAAAGCCACTGTTTGAGTAAAAGTCGACGCAAAGCCTCAACTTTTTTAATAAAAGGGGAGTTGTTATATGGTAAAATAAGCACACTCAGTATATATCAAGTTACCAGATAACAGCTTCTCAGTATTTTCATATGGTGAGAAGCAGAATCAGCATTGATCATATTTCTATCTGCTTCCTACAATTTCTAGGATCAGCGCTGACACTGCAGATCCAATATTATAAAAGGACCCTGCGTGGCAACCTTGGCAATTAGTATAGTTAGAATTAGTCTAGTAGTCATATGGCAGAGAGCCATCAGAATTTTCAAGTAACCATTGTCTTTTGAATAAAGTAACTTGTTCAGTAGAAAAGTGTTTTTTAAAAAGTGAAATCTCAAAGTAGAGATATAACATATATGTTCGGATATATGTTCATTTGAATCTCTCTTCTCTTCGACTTATGTGAGGAATATTTTGTGCAAAGAAGCGTTAATATACTTAAACCCGTCAACTCAACGAAAAATATGGAACGTATGTTTCGTGCGTTCACTTATACCTGTTTTCACATGTCACCACAGTATTCACCAGAACATAAAATGGAAGTATGTCAACATATACCCATTTTCACTATAGTTTCATGAACAACAAAAACTGTATGTACAAATACATCCCTTTTTACGAAAAAATTTCTGCAAATCGATCTCGCTAGAGGACTTATATGTATCTATATCCCTTTACACCCAAAAATGGCCACATTTTGTAGATAACGCCCTTTTCACATGGCAATAACCTTGAAAATCTGAGTGTTATGACTTACATCCGTTTGCTCATTGGTCGAGAATGTTGTTATGGATATTGGGAACGACTGACTCAATTTCAATATTTTTGGACTTATATCCCTTTCCCCGAACAGGTGCCAATTGTTTGCACCTCCCTCTCAATGCAGCCATTTTGCTGCGGAGTATAAACTACAGTCGACTGATGTTGGATACCATTTTTCATCATTATTTGTTTCACATCATAGTTTATAAACTCTGATCCATTGTCAGTCCTTGCTGTCTGTATTACATGTCCTGTATTTTTATCAGTTCTCATTATGAATTCATGAATTCAATTCTTTGTTTCACTTTTATATTTCAAGAAATGTAATGTTCTGAATCGGGAGTAATCATCTTTCATTAGGAGGAAATATTTCGCCCCACCCAAAGAATTGGTCTCCATAGGGCCACATAAATCCATATGAATTAACTGACCTGGTTTTTCTGTTTTTGTCTCACTCAAATTGAAGGTTAGTTTGTGTTGTTTACCTTTCACACATGAAATGCAAATAGTGTCCAACCCATCATCATACTGTATGTTATTCCTATTTGAAATATGTTTCACTTGTTGTTAATATGCCAGTGTTTGCACAAGAAACTGCCTCGATGTTTTTGAAGCACATTTTATATATTTTCTTGTCTCTTTCACCTACTGCACCCACTGTGCCATTTTTTACAAACAGACACTAATCATAGGACATTTCAACTGTATATTCTCTTGTGATAGCAGCACCAATAGAAAATAGATAAGCAGTCATTTTTGGTACATGTAAAACATTATCCAAAGTAGTTTCAATTCAACATTTCCCATTGAATGCTTTCAATTTTATTTGACCAACACCTTCAGCTTGAATCATGGTGCCATCACCGATAATTATGTTTTTGGTCTGAGAAAGTCTTTCATATGCACAGAACAGGTGTTTATTGTGACACATATGTTCTGTTTGAATTTAATCTGCAGTCTTTTTAGAAGTGCCTCACTCTGTTGCATTTAAAACATTTTCTACTTTCACTGTCTTGTGTCGCAAGTAGGGCTATAACTTCTTGTCTATTATCAATTCTCTGTTCCTCAACTAATAATCTAGCAACCAGCTCAGATATTTTTTGGTTTTCTGAGGTTACTGACTCCCAAGCTGACACAAAATGCTTGTAATTATCAGGCAGTGAAGTGAGGATTTCCGTTATCACCATCTTTTCTGCAATTTCACCATTTAATTGTCTAATCTGGTTTACATTTTCTTCGATTTTTGCAATGAACGTTGCCATATCTTCATTTTGATAAAACTGCATACTAAAAAACTTCTGATGCAAGAGATGCAATGACATTTGAGACGTTTGCTCATATACGGTATGTAGTTAATCCCAGATATCTTTGGAGGTTTCACAGTTCATCACTTGTAACATTGCTTTCTGAGATAACCTTGTAACTAGCACACTTTGAGCTTTGGCATCCTTTTGTTCCCATATTCTTCTGGCGGCAGCCTCTTCGGGCTTTAATGATGATGAAGCAGCTAAAATTTGATGGTACTCTTTTACTTCTTAATATTCTCTGTCACTTCGATATCGACATCTTATGACAGTTGTAACACACCTTTCATTTCACAAAACACAAAAGCCATAAAAAATAGCACAGACTGATTATATTCTAGTCAAGTATCATAAAATATAATTAGCAGAAACAGAAATGTTTGTTGTCAACATTTTAACAGTTTATCAGTTATCCATTTCGATAGAACATTACACTGAGCACCTGTGTCCAATTTAACTTTTATTTTCTTCTTTTCTATTTGAATTATCTCGTGCCAATCCTCTTTTTCATTCTGAGTTAGTCTTCTTATATATAGAATTTCTTCTACTTGTGATGAATTTTCAGATTGATTTTCTCTTTCTTCTACTGAATGCATTTTCGTGCCTTTTTTCTCTTTTTTCGACCAGCATTGACTTGCAAAGTGTCTTTTTTTTGTTACAGCTATCACATTTGTTCTGATATGCTGGATAGCTTCGTTTTTTGTGTCTTGTGCCACATCGTTTGCACATGAAAGTATCTGTACCATAGCCTTTTTTCTTGCTCTTTACTGAATGAATTTGGCTATTTTCTAAAAATTGTATTTCTTCAGTTGTTTTGTTGCTTGTTCACTAGCTCGGCATGTGAAGATTGCTTTGTTTTGATCCAGATTTTCTTCAGTGAGAAGTTTTTCTCTTACAGCATCAGATCTTACTCCACCAACTATTTTGTCTTTCGACGAGCTATCATGCAGTTTTTCTAATTCACATGATTTTGCCTGTAATTTGAACGTATTTAGGAATTTTTCAAAGGGCTCATCTTCTTTCTGGACGATTTTGAAGAAATTATATCTTTCGAATGAGACATTTATTTTTGGAATGAAGTATTCTTTGAACTTGTTTTCAATCACTGCTATATCTTTCTGTTGGGCTTCAGTTAGATTGAAGTTGTTGAATATTTGGATGGCTTCTGGTCCAATGGTAGCCATGAACGTGGCTGCCTGCACTTCTGGTGATTTTTTGCTAAGTTGTGATGCGGTACCAATTGAATTGTTATATCCGACCTTTCCAATTCGCTGACATGTTCTCTGTGAATGTTGAGGGTTTTAGCGGTCTAATGCCAGCCAGTGTCATCGGAATTCGTATCGTTTTCTTTTCGATTTACCGATGCTTCAGCCCAAAATTTGTTTTTTTTACATGCTCCCCTTTTTAGCTTTGTTAGGAAGTCTAACTGAGGTTTCTTTGTTTTTTTATGATTCTGGCAGACATATTCTTGTCTAGCGGTTTTTTTGTTTTTATTTGAGGCTTTGTTAGTTTTCGTATTTGAACGGCTTCCGCGCTCTTGAGAGATTCCGCAAATTCCTATCGATGCTGGCATCAACATCGCATCATCGCATGGCGGGGATGAAAAATGCAAACTCCTTATTGGTCCACGTGATATGGCGAGAAAACCGAAAAGGACACGCTGAGACGATTTTGGCGTACGTGACGAACAGCATAGCCTTATCGCGATCAGTTCGTTACGAACCTCTGAGTACAAAAACTCTGTCGGGTGGTTAGCTTTTGCTCCCGGCTTTTGGCGAGTGTTTCATCGCCTGGTTTGTGGATACTTCGGAGTTTGCACCCGTTGCCACTTCGAGTCCTCCAGTGAGCAACCGTCGTGCCCTAGTGTTCGTCGCAGCTGTGATTTTTGTCCAGTGGTCGTCGTATCCTAGTGAAACGGGAAGCAATACCACGTTCGAATAAAAAAAAAACGCTGGTCGAGATCGTTCGCGTCTCGGCTACGATACCACAGCCTAAGGATTACGATACTCCATCTCTAGTGCTACCCTGAAGCATCTCATAGTACATATATCATTAACCCAGTATTCCCCTTCAGCAGGCAGTAGAGGACCTAGCCCCGAGGAAATAGCTAGTGGGTGGTTGGAAGCTATTTTTTTTTCTTATTTTACACACATCCGTTTGTGGCGAACTTTTATTTTTTAATACCGGGAAAGGAACGAACCAACCGGTGTTATGTTGTGTATTGTGTGTGGCCGCGTTTCTGGACCCTGGAGCTCGGAGCTCACGTTGTTCGTGTGAAAATCCAAGCGTTGTGGTCCCCTTCACCGAGATTTGAAGAGTTGGCGCGGATTATTCTGAGGACAGTGCTACTTTTGCGGACAGCAACTTTACAGAATTCTCGGCAGCGTTGCAGAAGTCTGAGATCGTGTATATCGTGCGCGAGACTGCTAAGAAGACATACAGGGTGAGTCGTTGAGTACAGGACTGTTTTATGCGAGGTCTCCCAGAACTTCAAGATCGAATGGCGTTAACTCATTCCTTGATTGCTTCCTATTGTTTGGTATTGCGGGATTTCTATTGTAGGTTTTTTCCCTTCAGGGCATTGTCTTATAGGTTATTAAAGGTACCCGGACTTGACCGTGTTTGTTGAAGGTTTCATTTCAAGTCCTTGATCCAAGCTCGCCCTTGTATAAAATTATATAATTTTTTGCTTTGCCTGTTTTCGTTCAGTTATTAATTCAGTTCATTCTTTTTTTCTTTCTCAATAAATCTTATTCAGTTTGTGTTACTTCGACGTCGTAGATGAGATAATTTTTATATCGGCACTGCAACATCAGTACGAGGTGCGGCGCCGTATTCACTATACGAGGAGTGCTCAATATATTTTGACCACACCTAGGGTAATTAGAGACGAATATAGGATATCAAAGACGTTCAGAATCTCGAACCCAGCACTCGTTCGCACACCTCCCTGAGTTGAGCTAGTATAACGGGATTAGGTGGAGTGCAAAAAGGAGATGGATAGTACCCCTTTGAACATGTCATTGCGCGAGATCATGTCCTAAAGTCAATGTGCACTGGCCACGTCAGGTGAGGTACGGTCAACCTCACAAAAGACGCTCCTTTTAGACACGGTACAAAACCCTGTCGAACGCGAACATGGCGCCCAACGCGAGGCTCCCTAGAACAGAAATGCTTCGTTTACACCCAATTTAAACTTGGAAACTGTGTCACCTTGCAGTATTCCTGGCATAGGAAGTCCAGCTTCTTTCGTAGCCGATACTGAAGTTTCGATTGAAGAGCTTCAATATAAGCAGTTCGAGGGAAAAAAATTCCATGGAGTTGAAATTCTAGGAGAACAAAACCATATGCAAGGTGAGAGACAACCTGAAGTTGTCTATCGTGACGCAGCTACAAGGCAGCTCCTAGCTCATTATCAAACGTTATCCCAGGAACATCCGTGTATGGGCCCCCACGTATGGAACCGACGAGGGATTTGAATCGAGAGCGTTTTTATCCCCGATTTGCTAGTTCAGCTAATGTAGACAATCGCAATTCACGCAGCAGTTCAAAGCCAGACAATTTAATTTCCCGGCGCCTGAATTATGCAACGAACCTGTACAGAATGTACGCGTTGTGGGTGCAGGACGTGAAACCCTCTGGCACCCAATTTATCAAGATAAACCACGAGATAAACCATGTGATCAGAATCAATAGGAATATGCATCCTATATATATATATATATATATACTCGCATGCCAGTAGATACGACTCCACCAGGTATGCTTGACATTGCGAATTCGATCCGGGAACTTGTAAGCGCCTTCAGCGCAACTGCGGTAAACAACAGACGTCCAAAATCAATATTTACAGGCAGAGTATGAGAATCCTGGTGTTTTTCTGACTGAACTCGAAGAATATTTTCAGGATACTCGAATTTCTTTTGACGATTGGGTAGACCAGGTTATCCAACATTTGACAGGCGATGCTCTGTCCTGGTATCGAGCATACCAACACACTCCTCTCTCATGGGAATCCTTCAAAGGAAAATTAACTTATGAATTTGCCAGCCCTGCCTTAATCGCAGATTTATTGGCTAAACTTCATGGCGAGCAACAACGTCAGGGTGAATCTGTCTGGATTTTGATAGCACGGAAGACTGCGCTTGCAAGAAGGCTGCTTCCCTCCTCAGACGAGTCGGACATTATTCAGACTGTCTTGTTGAAAATTGATCCATTTATTCGGGTCCATTTGCACGCTGCTCGTTTTCGTACGATAGATGAACTGTCACAAGTTGCTTTTGCAATTGAACAGGACATTCGTGCGAAACCACGAGCTTCTGCCTTACAGAATGCACCGGTTAGGTACCAAGCTCCAAAAGAGCAGCCAAAGTACCAGCCACAGCAACAATTCCAAAATAACCCTAGGAAGATTCCTAGGAATCAGCCTCACGACATGAATTCTCACTCCATTCGTCATGATAATAATGTAGGTAATAATCCTCAAAACAATGTCCCTAGGAATTGGTCCTGAACCCGTGGTCCCCCAAGGACAGCTTGTCATTGCGGAGGCCAACACTGGCGTGATCAATGTCCCCATCAACAAAGGAACCACCTCTCTAGAATCAACGATTCATCGCCGCCTTGGCCCAACCAGCGACCGACCCAGCGCGAAAGTAGGCCGATTGAACGCCGCGGCGCACCCCCCAGGCTAATAATGTCACTTATAATGCACAGGTTGGCCGTCCCGTCCATAGTACTTCGTCCCAATCGCCTGATGCAAGACGTCAAAGCCCTGAGAATCGTCATTTGAACTAGAGCGGGACAATGCCAGGAACGTCCCTTCTCTACAATGTCCCGTGTAAATAGATGAAATTCCCAAACAAATTACCTCTAAACCCAGGCCTCGCCTGAGTTTAACGAACCATCTAAAGCCCGGCGTTTATCCTGTTCCGGCCCCAAGAAAATGATCCGACTCGTGTGCTCCCTTTTTAGGTGTAGCCCAGCCTGAACAATTTGTTTCTATCGCTATCCAAACCCTTCCTGAGGAACAGATTGACATTTTAGAAATACCAACTGTATTGCCGGTGCCGTTAACTCGAAGTTACCCACCGACAATCGAAAGTCTGGAACGGGCGATTACCAAAGGAGAACTCGTTCCAGAAAAACAGATAGGTAACAAATGTCCACATACTCCTGTCCTTGTAAAATCCGAGGTTGTCAATCCGTCCAGTGTTGACACTTCTAACAAATGTATTGCTCCGTCCGAAATCAACAATAAACTACTTCGTAGAAAACTTGATCCCAATTTTCTAGTTCTAGTTACACAACAAATAGACCTAGTCTATGAATCGCAAAATGACTGCAAATCAGAGGTAATACAGGGTGTGCAAATACCACTTCATAACACCAACGATTACTCCCAAGCAGATTATATATGTGAGGATTCGTATGACAGTCCTTTAGATATTTTGGCAGATGATTTATCTGAACTTCTGATAGAACTTCATAACGACGCTGATTTAGTTTTGGATTCTTCTAATAACGAATTCATCGAAAACTTTCCGTTTTTCAAACTTTTTGATAAATGTACTAGTCCATTTAGCGATGCATCTGATGTCACTTTCCGAATGAATACTTTCTCGCTGCCCAATGTCCAATATAATAATAATTGTACTCAGATTACCCAGACTGAGGCTTCAGCTGGTTCTAATCCTTGTGTTCCACGGATCGATTTATGTACGGCTGTGAATATAATTGATTCAACCTTTTTGACCAATGTTTCGACGGACTGTGGTTTGAATTTTCCTGCTAATAGAGTAGCGAGCTCTTTTGCAGCGTATTCAACTCGCTATGAATTACCACGCGTACCTGTACCCATTTTCAACAAGAGCACACTAGCGTTAATCGATAGCGGATCATCTTTAAATCTTATCAGACGTAATGTTATCCCACGCACTTATCATATACTGCCCGACACTGAAACGGTCACTATTCAAATGGCCTGTATTGGAATGTCTTCTCCTGTTGTTGGTCAATGCGACTAAGCTATGGATGTTGATGGGAAAACTTATACAGTCACCTTTTCAATTGTGAACGAATTGGTGGAAGACGTATTGTTAGGGTGCGCCTGGCTGGGCAAACATGATGCTCTGGTAGATTTCAAGCGTCGTAATTTATATATTGGTCATGAACCTCGACAAAT